CAGCCTGCAAGCCGGAGCACGGACAGGTTTTTGGGGAGCTTGTTCTCCCAGGCAGGGAAACGGGGGGCTCCACTTGTGGCTCTGGGTGATGTAACAGAGGGTGCGTGGAGCATCCCCCATTTCAGGCGTCGTGGTGGCCCCGGTTTGGTGCGTGGAGTCACTGGCACCCCTGATTCTGGCTCTTCTCACCTGCCACCTGCCGCCGTAAGCATCTGCAGTGGCCAGCGCCGTCAGCAGCGTCCCCAGCAAGGCGCCCAGGATCCCCGGCAGCCCGTGAACGTTGTGAACCCCACACGTGTCCTGGGTTTTCAGCCTGGAGCGCAGGACGGGCTGGGGAGAGCGTTAAGGGAGAGTCGGGGTTCGGACGGAGGATGCTTGCCCAGGGAGGCTGTGTGCGGTGTTTGCAGGTTTGGGGGCTGCAAACCCCAAAGGGGTCCCCTGAGTTGGGACTGGGGTCCTCGGCTGTCCCGAGGTGACTCACCGTGAGGAATCTGAAGCCAAGTGGGGGGATCAGGCCGGCTAGAAACCCCGCAATGAGGGCCCCGAAGGGGGTGACCAGCATCTCCCCAGCCATGCCCATCATGGCCACGCTAGCCAAGGTGGCATCCTGGATCTGAACCTGATGGAGCACAACATGGTCGGGGGAGTTGGCTCCGCGGAGGACATCAGCGTGGAGTTGGGGGGATTTGAGCTTCCTCAGGTCTTAACAAACCCGAGAAAGCCTAACGGGCATCCCCTTTTGCTCTGGGTGTGTTCGTGCTCGCTGTCCCTGCAGGACGGGACGCGGGCAGTGCATGAGACTTGGGTTTGTCCCAGGAGAGGACCTACCATCCGCAGGGCGCTCTCCTCGTAGAGGACAGGCGAGAGGACAAAGGTGGCCAGGGTGCTCGCCACCAGTGAGAAGTAGGTGTTGAGCACTGCCCAGGGCTCGGCGTTGTGACGGACCGTGGTGGCCGAGGTGAAGCTGGGCCAGAAGATCCACAGGTAGATGGTTCCTGTGGGGAAGGGGAACAGGCAGGTTTTGATGTTGGGGTTGATCCCTCATGGGAAAGAAGCTAGTGCCAAGAGATGCAAGTGGCCACAGCTTGCAGCGTGGGAGGTTCAGGGTGGACACAAGGAAAAGCCTTTCCCTGTAGAGGGTGGTCCAGCCCCAGGACAAGTCCCCAGGCAGGTGGAGGACTTCTGTCCTTGATGGTTTGCAGCATTCTGCTGGTCAAAGCCACAGCCACACTGTCCTAATGTTGGTGATGGTCCTTCCACCACCATGTCTGTGACTCCGGTGTTGTAGGATTTGAGCTCCGTACCAACCACACCGAAGACGTCTGGCTGGTGCCCCGTGTCCTGCTGCTCTTTCCTCTTGTCTGTATGGGGCTGGTGCAAAATCCGTGAAACCATCAAGCCGAAATAAGCACCGAAGGTGTGGATGGTCAAGGAGCCCCCGCTGTCGCTTACCTGGTGAGTACAAAAAACCACCGTGCAGGAAGGGGGGATATGGGATTTGTCTCTACAGACAAGGTGGGTCTTGACATGAGGAGGCTGAACCCATGGTCACCTCCTTTCTTTTTTCCCCCCCCCCCCCCCAAAATCAGTGACTCACCCCCATGAGACTGAGCAGGATGTATTCGTTGAGAGTGAAGAGGGTGACTCCCAGCAGGGTCAGCAGCAGCATCTGGACGGGGTTTCCCCTGCCCAGAACAGCTCCGGTGGAGATGAGAATGGCTGCGGTGCA